AACATTAGACAGTTGTTACGTTTTAGAGTTGTTGCAGGTGACCAAAATCTTCAAAACCATTTAATGACTTGCTCTAAAAATGTTATGTATACAAGTTGGTGGATCCAAAATGAAATAATAAAAGCTTGCAATAGCATAATGCTACAAAAGCTCGTGCATGATATTAATTCTGCAAAATCATTTAGGTGTTGGCAGATTAAACAAACAATATAGCCAATAAAGAACAACTAATTTTATGTGTGAGATATGTTCATTTTGGTCAAAAAAAATTAAGGGAAGATTTTTTACAGTTCATTGAGGTTAAAGACATTTGTGGAAAAACATTAGTAGATACCATACTAAACAATCTTCAATCCATGGGTATAGAAACAAAGTACCTAGTTGGACAGGGCTATGATGGAGCGTCCTCTATGTCCGGAATATTCAATGGTACTCAAGCTCATATACGAACACAACACCCAATGGCATTGTATATACACTGCAGTTCTCATTGCCTAAATTTGGCTATCTCTTTTTCTTGTAAAATCCCTGATATTAGGAATTGTATGGGAACTATGGGAACTATGCAAACAGTATACAATTTATTCTCGTACCCTAAGAGATCAAATGTACTTTTAGGTACTATTACAAAGCTTTTACCAGATGAAAAATCATCAAACTGAAAAAGTTTTGCCCAACAAGATGGGTTGAACGTCATGACGCTGTCATACTGTACTATGAATTACAACCTGCAATCATTTCTGCTCTAGAAGACATTTCTTTGTGGAAGGATACAGATACTTCATCAGTGGCAAATCAACTTCTAGCATCAATACACCAATTTAAATTCCAAATATCAATGATGATTCTTGTTAAACTGTTTTCAATATCAGTGTCACTCAGCAAATTTTTACAAACAGAAAATTTGGATCTAGAAAATGCCTTTTCTTTTGCTGAAAACACACAAGCTACATTAAAAGATATTCGTTTAAAAGAATTCAATGAATTGATTAAGTCAATTGAAAAAATTTGTAGCATATTGGAAATTGCTGTTTGTGTTCCTAGAATATCTTGTCGGCAAACACACAGAAATAATGTAGACGTTGACACCCCGGAAAGTTATTACCAAGTAGCAGTATTCATCCCTTTTCTCGATAATTTTTAGAGCAATTACATAATCGGTTTTTGAAACATCGGTCCATATTAATGAGTTTTGATTGTTTAATACCAAAGCCTAACCGTAAAGTTACCGAAGACATTGAAGACCAATTTAAGTTACTGCTAACAACATATAAAGATATCTTGAATGATGGTATATTAAATGAATATTCATGCTGTGCTGAATTAAAATTATGGCATAATAGCTTTGAATATCAGGCACAACGTTCACAACAATCTAAAATAACTGTAACAGATTTATTCTTCTAGTGTAATTCAGAAATGTATGCAATTCTTTCAAAGTTGCTTCAAATTTTCATTACTTTACCAGTTGCAACTGCATCAGGTGAACGTTCATTTTCTACTTTACGACGCATTAAAACGTATTTAAGGAATACTACTGGACAAATCCGACTTAATGGTTTATCAATGTTAAACATTCACAGGGACATAATAATAACACCCAAGGAAATAGTGATGAGATGGGAAAAACATCAAACAAGAGATTGGCTTTACATTTATAAAATTATACTATACATTGTACTTTATTATGCTATATAGTACTGAATTATACTATATTGCATAATGCATACATTGTTGTAGTTGTACCATAGCAAGTTAACTATTTTAAATTATAATTGATATTTAGACTATAATAATATGTTAGATATAATTTTTTTATACAACATTTTGCTATATGTTTGCTTAGGGCTATACAATATTAATCTCTATAGTAAATTATTAATAGAATAACCCCCCTCCCCCCCCCCCAAAAAAAAATCCTGTGTGCGCCACTGCACCATTTTCGCGCCACGGGACCCGATGCAGACACATAGTGGATGTGCCTTCAGGAAGCTCGACCGTGTGGAGCTCGAAAGGTCGTTAAAGCCAGGTGTAAACGTGACTAACCAGGACTTCGAAGAAGCATGCAACATGACCATTCGGTGGTTGACAAAGGCATGCGATGCTAGCATGCCTAAATCGGGCAACAACAACCGTCGAATGGTTCCATGGTGGAGTACCGACATTGCCGAGCAGAGGAAGAAGTGCCTCAGATAACGGAGGGCTTACACCCTCAAAAAGAAAAAACGGACGATGCTAGATGTACGGCTGAGTTGGAATTCTTCAAGCACGAAAGGAAAACTCTGTCCACCATGATCCATGCTTCAAAGGATGAGAATTTCAAGCGCTTATGTGAACTTGTCGAAAACGATCCCTGGGGCTATCCTTACAAGATTGTTATGAAAAAGCTGAACATCAGGAAACAGATACCGGGCCTCGAACGCCTGAAGTCCATTGTAAACACTCTCTTCCACACAAGAGCGACCATTACGAGTAAGATTGCTCCAGTCAGTCAGGAGGAACTGGATGAAGTCAGTTTTTCGCCAAGCAACGTAGCAGCAGTCGCGAAGACCTTACCAAATAGAAAGGCGTCAGGGCCAGATAGGATATCCAATGAGGTACTGAAGGTTGGTCTGCACCCTGAATACTTAGTTGAACTCTTCAACAATTGTATTAGAGGCGCCATCTACCCTGAAATTTAGAAGGGTGGAAAAACTAGTCTTCCTCCGGAAGCCGGGTAAGCCGCTGGATAACCCGTCTGCATACCGCCCTCTATGCATGCTTGACTCGACGGGCAAGCTCTTCGAAAAATGTCTGACGACGAGGCTTCGGGAACACCTGCTAACGTCTGGAAACATCACTGATAACCAGAATGGTTGTAAAACGCGGAAGGTCCACACTACAGATATGTCCAGGATGAGAAGTATTTTCCAGGACGCCAACGGCAGAAGTCAAGCGAGGAACCTGTTCATGGGAATGCTTCTACTGGATGTCAAAAACGCGTTTAATAGTGCTTCCTGGCTAGGCATTCTGAGCGCTCTGAACGGAAGGGAACGGGAAGATACCTTCGAAATGTCATCGGACAGTACCTCTCGAACAGGACAATCTTGGTCAGTGGAGAACGCGGGGAGCGGCGACCGATTAAAGTGAGCTGCGGGGTGCCTCAAGACTCGGTTATTGGACCAGACCTATGAAACGTCCTGTACGACGACCTGTTAAGGTTAAATCTCCTAACCAATGTGGAAATAATTGTGTTCGCAGATGACATCGCATTGGTGGCAACAGCATCGACGCTTTCTCGCTGGAGGTGGCACTTGGATCGGTTATTGATTGGATGCGGGAAAACGGTCTGGAACGCCATCGAAAAAACTGAGGCCACCGTTCTCACGAATCGGAACAAGCGCAACAGCATGATGGTTAGATGTGGGTTGCTGAGCTTCCCGTCCGTAAGATGTGTCAAGTATCTAGGAGTACTTCTCGACTCCAGGCTACACTTCAACGAGCACGGCGAATATGCCGTGACGAGAGCCGAAGAAGCCTGCCAGCAGCTGACATTGATCCTGCCGAACTTAAGAGGAGAAAAACGCAAAAAACGCGACGGTCAGCAGGGCACCCTTCAAACTACTCGTGAGGGAAAGGGTCAGCATATTCCGGGGCACCGATAAGGATTCTGCGAGGGAATCAACCACGACCTGATGGCAGGCAGCGTGGATCGAAGCTACAAATGGGAGATGGACCCACCGGCTTATCGGCAATCTGGGACCATGGTTGAAGGGAACCACAGTGATGTCACATTTCACCTGTGCCAAATATTAACGGGACACGGCTGTTTTAACGACAACTTCAGTTGCAATTTTAAAATATTAAGATTATGTGGTGGGAGCGATTTAGAAACATACGATAGAATGAGGCTGATATAAATTAGCCTCAGTGGTATTCATCGTTCTGTATAATCCAAACGACAAAACTTCACATAGATAATATTATAATAGGTAGAAATAATAATAATAATTTATAATATGGTACATAAGTCATTACTTACCCCAGTATTTGCATAGATAAAGTGAACGTTTATCACTTATGATTACAATTTTCAACATAATAACACAGATTATATTAAAATAATATTATTTTAACGCGACAACAGTCGCGCCATAAAATATAGATATTATAGAACGACCGCTCAATTAATTTCTTGGTTTCTAAAAACGCGACCGGTAGTACGATTTTGAATTAACACTCATACCTCGCCAGCACAAGGCGGGCTGTATCTATTATCAGTATTATTATTTATGATTGTAATATTGGCAAAATACAATTTGTATGAAAATTGTGTTCCAAAATACACCATTTTGATTTTTCAGAAGTAATTTGAGTATTAACTATTAACAAATAATGCATAATAAATTATAGACAACACAACTATTTAATAATGATATTATAAAGACAGCTTTATTTTATAAAAAAAAAATACAAAATATATAACTAATCATTACTAATAATAAATACAAATAATAACAAAATATGAATAATCATTATAATAATAACAACAAAATATGAATAATAATAATAATAACATACCTCATATTAAGGGCCTAGCCACACTATGCGTTTTGGCGGGTCCGGGTAAATCGGATGCGTTTTGACCGGACGGTATTCACTATGCCACACTATGCGGTTTTGTTCCTGCCAAAACAGCCTTCTCCCACCATTTTTTTCATATTTTCATGGACCACAGCAGTTCAAACGCTTGTATAGTACAGACGTATGATTCATTTGATATTTAACATCTCATTTAAGATTTAACTATAACTATTGAATACTTAGAGAAATATTGATATTATTCAGACACCGCTTAATTTTAAATCAAAGCAATTTGATATTATTTTACAAGTAAGTAATTTATATTATAATATTATATTTTAATTTCGTAAGCTTTACACTTTAAAAATACATTAATTTATATTAATTTAATTAATTAATTAATCATAGGTAATATAGCTTAAAAGTTATATTAAAGAATGAATCGGCAAAGGGTTAAAGTTGTTGCTGTAGCTGAGGCATTCGGTTTGTTAGACGAACCTGTAGAACGGAGGTACTGGGTGCATCCAATGAATAATGATCGAGAAAATAGTGAACAATTTAAAAAATTTTTTGAGAATATAAGGCGTTATCCAGAAAAATTTTTTGAATACTATCGAATGTCAGTCTCGAGTTTTGATGAGCTATTGGAAAATGTACGGCCTCATATAACGAAAACTACCACAACATTTCGTAATCCTATATGTGCCGAAGAACGCCTCACAATTACTTTGAGGTAAGTTAAATTTTAAACATCAATAATAAATTTAGTTGCATAAATTATGAAAGAAAAGACTAATAATTGTTGCGAATATAATTTTTATTTATATATGGTAATAAAAAATTACTTTTATAGTTTTATTATTATATAAACAAATAAAAATAATAATAATAAACAATAAAAATTTAATTATGTTAAAGGAGTATCTATCCTTTTAAATATCTTTTAAATATCTGAGTTAGATATAAGATAACAATAAATAAATAAATGTTACAAATATAATTTTAAGGAGTGTCCTTTTCAATATCTAACTTAGATATAAAACAAAACAAAAAATAATAATAAATAAATAAAATACAAATTCAATTATATTAAAGAAGTATCTTTTTAAATATCTGACTTAGATATATAATAGGAAATAATAAAATAACTTTTTTTTTAAATGCTCATGTTAAAAATATTCAAATATCATATTATTTATATTATAATTGTTCTTTATTTTGAATGCGTTCGGATTGCTCAGAAGTCATTGGATAGGAAGAAGATGTATACGGATTATTAATTAGGGAATGCGGTGGATGTGGATTGAAATTAGTTTCGTACTGCGATAGAGAAATTGGAGGGACAAGACTTTGATTATCAGGGAAACCAAGATTATATGGTGGATATGAAAATGATTGATTTTGAAATGGATATGATGAGGATGGAGTGCTTTGATGTAAATTTGACGGAGTTTGATTGCATTGGAAAACTGTAGGTTGAGTTTCTTTGGTTTGTGTCGAAATATTTTTAAAAAACTGCAATGTTAGCAATCGAAAATCCATTTTCTGGTCACAATTTAATTTTTTATAATCCGGTAACAAAGAGAATAAAAAAGCTTTATCTGGATCAGAACTAACATTGTCTTCTTCAGGAGCGGAAGAGGATAACGAATTTAAAAGGGCTCTCTGAAATGGCGTCATTTGGTTTTTTGTTTTTGACTTCGTTGAATTTTTAGAATAATTCTGTTTTGGGTAGTTTGAAGTCGACATAATCACCTCATCCCCTTCAAGTTCATCTGATTCAACATTGAGGTTATATTCTTCGTTTTCTTCTGGATCTTCCGTAAAATTACCCGTCGTTCTATATAAAAAAAAAAAAGGGTGGGTAGGTGGATGTCGTATATAAAATATAACAATATACTCTAAAAATTTCATATACCAACAAATAATATTCTTAAATTATAAAAAAAATAACTAAAATCGTTATTCTTGGTTTAGTAATTTTGTCCAAATTTGAAATTAAAATGTCTATAAAAAAGAAATGTGTTTATATATTTTTTAGATTTTTTGGTTACAGTATGAATTATTTATGAAAATCTTTAAAATGTTCATCATTAAGTTATAAAAACGTTTTAAAATTTTTTTATTACAATGATTTATAATTTTCAAGATTTTGATACATTTTGTCAAGATTTGAAGTTTAAATATTTCTAAAAAAAAATCGTACTTATGTATTTTGATCCCCCAAAGTACCAACTGCATTAACTTTCCTATCAAATAAGGTACTATTGAAGAAAATTTAAGCACTAATGGAATAATGAATATATTTATTTTACATTATATGTTTTTCTTTGGATCTCTAGTTGGGTGGTCAAAAGTAAAAATTTCAATTAATTTACAAAATAATCAGAAAAAAATTTAATTTTTACAAATTTTGACAAAATTGATTTTGTTATTTTGTTGTAATTAGACAAGTATGTAGTACCTAACTTGATTTCCGCAGTATTTTACAATCGAAACAGTTTTAATTTTTCCAAAATATTAAAATTAAAGAATTTTGGTTTTCGAAAATATTTTAACCAAAAATGATTAAGTATTGTTATATTGTATCTAATATTATATAATAATTATAACTTTTAATAATTGATATTCTTTAAAAAAAGTATTTAACTACCTATCAAATTTAAACAATATATTGTTACCTTCTTTTTTCAATTGTATGCTGCAAAAATGAGAGGGATTCTGCATACACGTACTTTCTTTTTTTAGCACTATCGCCACTTTTCGCCTGGTTTAAGAACTTTGAGTAGTGATCACGAATATGCCCATTTGGTTTTCATTTCTTTAACTATAATTAAAATAAAAATAAATACTTAATGAAACTTAATAAAATAATTTAAATTTAATAAATACCTAATAAAAGAATTTTAAGTTGTGTTGAATACCTAATACCTATATAGCTATATGTCAATTGTTTTATTATTTATCTAACATATTTTAAATTGTTGATATGTTGTTAATTTTTTATTTTGATCGGAGCGATGACTTTATTTATTTTATTTTATTTTTTAGTTTGTCTGTATACATGAAAAGTAATATACATATTTCTAAATAATTTGCAATTGTTCACGAATTTGGCAAAATTCAAATTTTAGACACTTATAAAAAAATATTGTAAAATTATGCTCAACTTTTCTTTTTAATTACACCAATAACAATTTATGACCTTGTAATATACCTACGCCTATGTGGCTATGTAATAAATTTTAACAACAATAATTTTAGAACAACTAATAAAAATCGATAGTCTCTTATGCGTATTAAATAGTTTAAATAGTGTCAAAATATTTTGAAAATATTATTATGTATAATATAAAAAGCTTAATATTAGATATTTGATGAAAATATTGCATAATGTAACTACTCGAAGCATTTTTTGACTACTTATTGTCTATACAGACTAAAATAAAATACATATAGATCATTGAAAATTGAACACATTATTCGCTCCGCTCAGAATCTATTATTTATATCAGTATTTTATTAAAAATGTAGGTAGGTACCTACCTATTCTATAAAACCTAAACGATATGTAATTTTTTTTTTCACTAAAGATATTTATCAACTGGCACCTATTTTGCTGCTTTGAAATTTGATTTCCGAGTTGGAAGGAGTACGATCGGAATAATAGTTAAAGAAACGTGTCAAGCATTGTGGACAGTTGTACAGCCAACAGAGATGCCTGTGCTAACCACGAACGACTGGTTGGAGATTTCAAATGTATTTAATGTTAAAACAAACTTTCCAAATTGCTTAGGCGCTATTGACGGCAACAGTGCCGTAACTAGACTACTTGAGGCCTGTGTGCAAGCCCAAATCTTGAGGCCCCACTATACATTTTTCCAATAGATACCATAAATAATTTTTAANATTTTTGTCTCCTTAATCGTCTTTTTACGGTTTCTTCGGCTGGCATCAGAGCTTTTGTGTCACGGTCCACTTTTGCTACCACTTCTGAAAAAATTTGTCCTGGCTTTTTTTCGTGTTGTTTTGCAAGTTGGAGCATTTCATTCACACATTTTGTGACATTAATTTTCCCTGTGTTTTTGGCACATGTGATCAGATGACGTGTGATGACGTGTGGTTCAGAATAGTCCAATTCAGATTTTAATATTCCTGGACATTTCAATAAATTTGATTTCACGCAGCGCCATGACATGTTTTTGATACCTATATATTTTACAGTATACATGTGCCCTTCAAATATGGCTTTTAAACCACCTTTGTTCGATCTCGTTACTTCCATTTATAATTAATTTTTAATAAATTTATAAGCTGCACTTCACTACGTTAAGTCGTTAACACGGAAACCGAAAGACGTTGACGCTTGACGACGATGAAGACTTATGATAGATTTATACGTAACGATAACTGTAATTTGTCGGAGTTTGAAAACCGGACACTAAATAAAGATAGTAATGTAGTATACTAATACTACTATAGGTTCGATATAACAAAATCTAATAAATAATAATCCCACACTAATCTTGTCGATAATTTAAACGATAAGCTAGGTAGGTACGTGAAATTTCCAGGTTAAAATACAATTATTATTATATGTTAGTATTATATGTTATATATTATAGTACATATGTATATAAACATCACAATATAAATTTATTAATAAAATTGTAATTGTTGAGCTATAATGATTTATACCGATAGCTAATAAAAAAAAAAAAAAAATTATTAATAATACATATTTTTTAGTATTGTCGTATATTATTAATATTTGTCATTTCAAGATTTGGATATTTTGACCGTTGGATATTTTGACCGTTGGATATTTTGTCCTTGGATATTTTGGTTTGGATATTTTGTCCGTGGATATTTTGTCCTTGGATATTTTGACCGATTACCAATTTTAATACAATTAACCATAATAATATGAAATATGAATTATTCAGTATTTTGAAAAGTAATAATCTTAAAAAGCATTATACAAGTTTATTAGCAATATTACTAAATATCATGATATGAAATAAATATATCAATAATTGGCTTACCGCAATATGACGTCGAAGGTTGGCTGTGGTGTTCTTAGCCGTACTAATTATTTTGACCGTAGGACTACACATAACGCACTTAGCAAGTACATTATTTCCCTTGTAACCATTGAACAAAAAAAAACTATCAACCCCAGACCATGGCAAACATTCTGCTAAAATACATTTTGAAATCAATAAAATATTAGTTATGGTTCAAGAACATTTGTTAATAACCATTGTAATCATAAGCAGTGCCGTAACTAGACTACTTGAGGCCTGTGTGCAAGCCCAAATCTTGAGGCCCCACTATACATTTTTCCAATAGATACCATAAATAATTTTTAACAAATATAATATGTCTTATTTCTGGGGGTCATTCTAAAAATATATGTGACACCCAGAATGGTAAAAATTGCTTAGTTCATTTGTTGTAATAATAATAATAATTATATTATGTATGATTCTTTTGTAAATCTACATTTGCAAAAACCATATAATACATTTCAAGTGTCAAAGAATTTAACATAATATCATCACCAATAATAAAATAGATAAGGGAAATTAATAAACAAAATAGATTGAATTTTAAAACATTCTACACTTCTACAGTAATCTATATTTCTATTTCAAAAAATTCTTTTTTCTAGCTTTTACATTAGCAAAATTATCAATAATATTATCTACATCGATTCGCGATGTATTAAGCCTTTCAATATTTAATATAGCAATATTGTTTAGCCGATCTTGTGATATCGTATTCCGTAGAAAATTTTTAATCAGTTTAAGTTTGGAAAATGAACGTTCCGCTGAAGCTGATGTCACAGGAATAGTCATAAATATGCAACAACTTGTAAAAATATCAGGAAATATAATTGTTAAATCATTACTTATTAAATATTCTGCTAAATTTTGAATAGTCATTTTTTTTAAACTTTCACTTTTTAAATTAGTTTTTAAAAAATTCCTCAATGATAACATTTGCCATGTGAAATCCGAGTTGACATCATCTCTGTATTTATTTATAAAATCATAACATGATCCTATCAATTTTTCTTCTGATATTGTAGTCATTGTGTTTGGTATTAATATACCAAAATTATCATTAATTACCTGCATGCTAATAAATCTCTCTTTGAGCTTTTGTAAAGTAGTATCTATTAAAGGATTAAATATGGTCACTTTAAAATTATCTTCTGTTATGGTCAGCCTTCTATCACTATCAAACTCATCATGGAACTTAGTTGCAAATCATTGACGTTTGTGAAGAAACATAAATGGTATATTCCAAAATTTGCATACAGTTTTAGAGTTATCTACAAATGTATCATACTCATCCCTTAGTTTTGAAATTTCTGCATGTGCATTTTTTAACAGCTCAAATGCTTGTTGTAAATCTATAGAAACAGATTGAAGAATTTTGGAAACAACAAACAAAGACTTCAATATTTTTTCCCAAATACATAAAAGTAAAACAAACTCTGCTCATTCAAGTTTCTTTTTAAGAGCTGTGGCTATATTAATTTCATCTTTTTTAGTACTAGTTAACTGAATTCTTGTAAAAGCTTTTAAAACATCTACAAATCGCTGTTTCAATGAAAATAATGCATTGTGGCGCGCCTCCCAACGCGTAGCGCATACCTTTTTTAATGTTATTTTTCTTAATTTTGAACTTTCTTCTTCTCCAAGAGCTAGTTGAGACCATCGCGGTGCACTGGAACTAAAAAAATTGTATACATCTTGAACAGTTTCAAAAAAAGATGATATTTCTCTAGTACTTTTGGCAGCATCACTTATGACCAAATTTAAATTATGAGAGCAACAATGTACAAATGTGGCATTTGGTACTATTTCAAGAATTCTTTTTTGAACACCTGAGTTAGCACCACTCATGACAGCTGCTCCATCATATCCCTGACCTCTACATTTTTCTATATTTAATCGATATTCCAATAAAGTATGTTGCAAAAGTTCAGCATAATCAGAAGCACAGTGTTTTTTTAATAAAAAAAACCCTAAAAATGATTCTCTAATTTCTATATGCTTCTTTTCATAATCAACAACAGTGTAACGAATGATAAGACTAGCTTGATCTTCCTTGGTTATATCTTGTGTTGAGTCTATGATAACTGAGAAAAAACAACTTGATATAATGTCATCACAAATTATACGACAAAGATCAGAAGATAAAATATCTATTATTTCGTTCTGGATCAATGGACTGAGATATTTAATTTTTTGTTTTTCGTCATTCATTATATTATTTAAGACAGGATCAAACTCTGCAAGTAAATTAACAGTTCGTAAAAAATTACCTTCATTAGGATTTTTTATCTTCAAATTACCTTCATTACCACGCAATCCTGAATTACCGGCAGTCAAACATAAAATGATTTTTATTATACGTTTTAATACATTTCTCCATAACATAGCTTCTTGAGAGTACTGATTTTCTATATTTACATCAATAGTTTGGTTTTTAATCCATAAAGATCTAACTTTAGATGCATACAAGTGTTGTATGGATGCTTCGTGCCGTTGTATACTTTGGGATAAATGTTGCCAATCACTCACACCTTCTATCCATTCTTTATTGAATTTCCCACTCATTCGATCAGCGAATAGCCAACACGTTTCACAATATGCCACATCTAACAACACTGAATAACATAGCCAATCACGTGGAATTTTTAAACCACCTTTTGTTACCATATAGTAATAATGCAAAGAAAAACATCTGTTTTCAGTCCTAGGAAATTCTATGCTAGGCCTACATGAGCCAAATTTCAGTATGCTTCTTTTCAATGTATCTGTTACAGCTTCATCAAATTGTCCACGATCGGTTGGGTAATCTGATTTTAAGTCTAGTTCATAGCCCATACCGCAAACATTATTTCCTAACAGATAATATAATAGATTATAATTTATAAGATAGATAGAAAAAGGTTCAAATAGAAAATAGATCAGTCAACATAAAATATTACTCGAAAAAATACCTGTATCCTTGTTTTGTTCAGTTTCAATATTATATTTTGATGTTAATGTTTGTCCATCGGCATCATCCTGAACTAGTTCATGAATATCTAAAATTAAAAATAAATAGGTAGGTATAGTAAGAATTTTAAAAACACAGGTGAACACGGTAAAAATAGGTAGTAAAACATACTTGAAATTGTCATATCCGAGACTGTGTCAATATTGTCAGTTTTTGTAACACTTGAATTCAAGTCCTGTGATCCAAGAGGGCCTAAAAAGTTATTTTATTAATATATAAATTATAAGTAATAAGTATATAGAAAAAATTCAATAAATATGATTGACTACATTTAATTTTGGGACATGATTATTAATATTAATTGTATAATATGTGAGTGCAGAGCAGTGTTAGGAAGTAGGTAACTGAACATAAGTTACAAGTTACTGTAACAAAATTACTGCTAGTAATTTATATGTAATTTAAATAACTTTTTGGTAGTAATATTACAAAACTACTCGTTACTTTTTTTTCTTTTAATGTTATCAAAAATTATTGATAAATTATGTATATATCAATATATATATATATTATATATTGGTATTAAAAATGTATAACATAATGCAAGTATTTAGCATTTTTATTTATAAATTAATCATTCTTGACTGTGATATTTTTCTTATAGTTATAGCTATACTTATTGCTTACCTATTTGACATAATCAATGTTACTTTAAAAAAAGGAATTGCTATTGTAATTAAGTTGTCAAAAGTACCTAATATAATTTGACTCCCCTTCATAAAAAGTAACTTAAGAGTAATTTAGTTAGAATTTTGAAAAAGAATCAGTAATCAATTTTATATTTTGATGTTAATGTATGTCCATCATCCTGAACTGGCTGAACTAGTTGATGAATATTAAAAATTAAAAATAAATAGGTAGGTATAGTAAGAATTTTAAAAACACAGGTGAACACAGTAAAAATAGGTAGTAAAACATACTTGAAATTACTGTTAATCTGTGAAATATAATTGTATACAAATCCCCAAAATTGTTAAAACACAGAATAAAACTGTACAAAAAGCATAGGTAGGTACACAATTTTGAATTGTTTTATATAATTATTTAAAGTCAACTACCTACTCATATTTAATTGGTCAGTGGTTAAAACTCTTGATTAGTAATAACTTAGGAAATAACTCAGCCATTTAATATTTTAAATTACAAAAATATGATTATAAAATAACTTACCTTTAGCCCAACAAAGTAAGGAACTTGACAATTTTTTATTTTCTTCCTGACGTTTACATTTTATTTTTCGTTTTTCACAACCGCTCAAAAATGTTCTTTTTGACATAATTGAAGGAATTTATAAATAAAATGTAAATACACGGTACACGCTTTACTAGACTGTACTTAGAACTTAATTCAAGAGTTTACAATTTTACATTAACACCGATGCGCATTCAAAATAGAGCAAAAGCAAGCAGTCTGCTGTATACAAATAGTTTGAATGCGTTTTGTTATGACTCGGAGGGAAGGGAGAACGGCAGTATCAGAAATTCCAGCCGATAAGCAGCTAATACGTTACAATACCAAAACTATTAATAGATATGATGATAATAATAATAATATCAATAATAACGTCATAATAACGAAAAGCCAGACTAAAATAGCTATAATTTTACTTCTTAATTTCAATAAGGGCCACAGTGTATAGTATAAGTAAATAACATTGGTTTAATTTCCAAATAAATAATAAATATTTGATATTTGATATTGTTTTATGTCATTAGATTTTTGAATTTTTGACTTTTTGGGGCCCCTTAATTTAGTATAAGGCCCGTGGCCCGTGTGCAATGCACACTCTGCACACCCGGTTTTTACGGCACTGGACGGCAAACATATCCGATGTAAAAATCCTAGTAATTCTGGATCATTGTTTTTCAATTACAAAAAGTTTTTTTCTGTGGTACTCATGGCTGTAGCCGATGCAAATTTACAATTTATCACAATCGATGTCGGGTCTTATGGTAGAGAAGGGGACTCCAATATATTTAAGGAATGCCCATTTGGCAAAATGTTATATGCTAAAAAACTTAATCTTCCTGAACCAAATCCTTTACCAAACACAAACAACAATCCACAGCCATTCGTATTTATTGGGGACGGAGCTTTCGCTCTACATACAAATTTATTAAGACCATATCCAGGACGTAACCTAACTGATACTCGACGTATAGGTATTTAAGGCTCAGTCAAACAGAAAGCGGTCTGCCCGCGCGGGCAGCCCGCATTGCCCGCGGCGGGCACTGTATTATCTATGATTGCATAATCGTGGTTAAAAATAGCGCGGGCTGCCGCGGCGGAATCATGTCGACCGCCGCGGTCTGCGGTCTGGTTGTAATATTTTACAGAGAACGCGGTCAGTCACAAATTATTTTAATTATTCATTCCTCATTATCCATCACTATGGCAGATGAGACAGAAAAATTAATTGATTTGGTGCACAATTATCCATATTTATATGATACTAGTCACAGTGAGTATATAAATACTGTAAAAAAAACAGAGAAATGGAACGAAATTGCAGGGATACTCAATAAGCCAAGTAAGCATAGTATAGTAATATAATAATATAGTAGTAATATAATAATATAATATAATATAATATGTGTATTTTATGACATAAAATAATATAAGTAATTTATATAATGATAGATATTTAAATAATATAATGAAATAAACATGTAAAAATAGATTTTGATTTATTTTTATCAGTACTTATATTATATTAAATCAATAGTAATAATATATAGTAGTATTGTACAAAAACGATTTTGAATGAAAAAACATGGTGTTACATACCTAATAATAATTAGTTATTAAGGAATAAATTATAGTTAAAATAGTTATATTACCTAGTTACATAATTAGTTATATTATAATATAGTGATACAATATTATTATTCAGTTTTTTCATAGTATTATTATTATTTTTCATAGTATAACTATTGATCGATAGTTTCATTACGTAAATAATTGAAATAATTTACGAAGTTCTCTCTAACAGAAGTAGCTGCAATACTTGATCTCTCTCTTATTCGTTCTGTATTAGAAAACACATTAGTAGGTGAAATAGCGTCTTCTTCTTCTGGTTCGTTTTCAATTGTAGAGGTACTTCGGAGATAATTGTGTAAACAACAAGCTGCCTTGACAACATGTTCTGCAGTATCTACTTCTAATTCAATAGGTCTAAAAAAGACTCGCCACTTTTGTGCCAAAATACCAAAGGCATTTTCGACAACACGTCGTGCTCTGCTTAGTCGCTTATTGAATACTTTTTTAGCTTCATTTTGTGCAACTACAGCTCTCGGAAAGGGGCGCATTAAAAAAGTTTCTAGTTTAAAACCTTCGTCACCTACGAAAACATGTGGGACTGGGGTGGTTGTTCCAGGTAAAGGTTTAGGTGGTAAAATAGTTTTACCCTGTATGAACTCGCGATAAAAGGATGAATTCTCAAAAATACTACTGTCACTATGACGGCCATAACTACCAATATCAACAATTAAAAACTTGTAGTTAGGATCTACTATGCCAAGCAAAACTATTGAAAAAAAATTTTTATAGCAAAAAAAACTTGACCCAGTCTTAGGAGGACATTTTATTCTCACGTGTTTTCCATCTATGCTTCCTATGCAGTTGGGAAAATTCCAAAGCTCTCTAAATCCAATTTCTGAATTTTTCCATACTTCTTCTGTAGGTGTAGCCAGATATAAAGGCTGTAAAACATTCCATAGCTCTACACATACTTCTTTCACTATGCTAGAAACAGTAGTACGTCCGACTCGGAAAGAAAAACCTATAGTATGATGTGAATCTCCTGTTGCCAAATATCTGAAATAAATAAATATCAATAAATACCATATAGCTATAAAAAGATTTTGTAATTCAACTAAAAACTTATAACCGTAAATACTTTAAATACTATATTTTACTTTAAAGTTTAAATATAATACAATTTCCTTAAATACTTTAAATTTTTTCTTTTAGTATTTATGTAAGTACCTATTTATTGTATATACTTTGTTCTGTATGACAGCTGAAATTGTGAAACAGAAATGGAAGAACCTGCGTGATTCTTACATGAAATATATAAAGTATTTAAAAGGATCTACCGGATCTGGCAAAAAATACAAAAATTGGCCATGGGCGGCTCATTTGGAATTTTTGAGAGATACAGTAGCACCACGAGCAACGACTTCAAACGTATCAGAATCACAGATCCGCGAAACATCGATCACTGATGAAGATTATGAGCCGGGTGAGTCTGATAGTGGAAATGTAACTTCCCCAACGCAAATGCCACCACCTAAGAGAACAACCAAACGGAAAGAACTAACAGAAGATGTGGCTGCGGTACTTAGCTATCTTGAAAACAAAAATAGCAATAAAACTCATACAAAACTCGACCACATTGACAATCTCTTCTTGTCGTATGCACATACGTTTAAGACATTTTCGCCAAGAACGCAAGCTGTCCTTAAAATGGAGATGTCACAGTTATTTGGACGAGCTGAACTTAATGAGGTTGACGGTCATAATTCAACACGCTCATCTCCAATGTACTCCACAACTTCGTCTTGGTCAGATGTCAACTCAAACCAAGCTGCTGAAAATGACACTGGTAATGCTATTCAAGCACTCAACTATTCAAACATACATACACAACCCAAATCAACAAATTCTTTGGTACTAGGATCATACCCGGTTCGTACTCAGTCGAGTAAAGATTTGTATGAAAACGTATCAAAGTTTCTTGCTACACAGCCGAAAAACAACTACTAAAAAATTATTAAAATTAAAATTCATTTTTATGTATATTTAAAAATACTACTTACTTAATTATAAACAAACAATATATTCTTATGTCATTCATCATTTAAAATAAATCTTTTTTTATAGTTCATGTATATTTATAAAGACTTATTTACCTCAAACAAATTGCAAGCCTTTCTTTTGTCCCAATAGGTTTTCTCCAGTTTGTCGTAAGTTTTGATATCCTCGGTGATACGAGTTCGTGTATTTCCTCAAATTGTTCTCGAGTCATACGAAAATAATTTACAAAACGGTCTTCGTAAGTTGACAGTTCTTTGCAGAGGTGGTGAAACTCGCCAAATTCTTCTCTTTTTTCATTAATTTCGTGCACCCATTTTCTCCTTTTCTTTTTGTTCTTCAATGCGAGTAGAATAAGAAGTTCTTCGTCAGAACTACTGGATGTCATTTTTGTTCGTATATTTAAATTAAATTTAGTTAAAGTGTAAAGAAACAAAGAAACAGTGTAGGTAGACGTAGTACGTTAGGTACGTAAGACACGTAGTCCGCGACTGCCCGCGCGTTGTTTGACATCACAGACCGCGGCGGTCAGTAGTGCGGGCTGCCCGCGCGGGCAGACCGCTTTCTGTTTGACTGAGCCTTTAATTATCGATTGAGTAGAGCAAGGCGGACAGTTGAGTGTGCTTTCGGAGTTCTTGCAAATAAATGGCGTGTGATGCATACTCCCATACAAGTGGAACCTGAATTCACTGACATTATCATCAAAGCGTGTTGTATATTACATAATTTTGTTCGTAAGAGAGACGGAATTAATTTTGAAGATGCTGAAACCCATAGCCTGGATGACATAGAAGCTCGTGGAACAGGAACTCGTTCAGAAGGCATTGCAGTGAGGGATTACTTTGCTGACTATTTTATGGGCCCTGGTGCCGTAGATTTTCAGTATAAAGTATTATAAGCTGCTTATTTAAAAAGATCCTTATTAATTTTTTTATTATTTGTAAATTAATAATAATAAATTAAAACTGTAATAGATTTAGGTAGTCTTTTTTTTTTATTTGATCAAAAAAGTTGTATACTCAATAGAAATTAAAAATAATTACTAATAATATTGTAATACTATATTGCAAATTACCTATGTTAAAAATTTAAAAATATATAACAATATTCTACTTACCTATATTTTCTTTTTCAGGTTCTGTTTTTTCTGTCCAATTATCTGCATACATACTTTCCCCAATACTGACCCAACTTTTGTGTTTGATGAACTTATCCATGTATTCTTTAGTACCCATTTCCCAAATAGATGGGTTACTTTGAATACATGATATGAATTTATCGGTATCAAAAACCATTTTTTTTTTAAATATTTTAAAAATATATAAAATTAAAATAATCTAAAAACGCAGCGGCCAAAACGCACAGTGTGGCACACACAATACAAAATAATGTGTTTTGTTTATACTTCCCGCCGGGTTGATTCCTGCCAAACCGCAACATGTTGCGGTCGGCCAGCGGCAGGAATCGACCGGTCCGGTTAAAACGCACAAATGTGACATCTACAATTAGAACTCATGTGATTCGTTGCTCCGGTCGACCGGATGCGTTTTACCCGGACCCGCCAAAACGCATAGTGTGGCTAGGCCCTAAGAGGACGTGATACCCGCATGTGTTGTCTCCGTCTTACAAGTGCGTAACATAGCAAATTGTACACTCAGCAGAACACGTGTAGCTCCATTAATTTAAAAATTAAAGTGAACTGACCTCTTATAAAATCTAAAGGTAAGATTATTATCTAGGCAACCTCATAGGCTTTTTATTATATTTTTATTTTAACGTGAGTTATAAGTATTTTAAGATGTATAAAAAATTTACAATTTTAAAATACTCATAACTCGCGTTAAAATTAAAATATAATAAAAAAATCTATGAGGTTGCCTAGATAATAATCTTACCTTTAGATTTTATAAGAGGTCAATTCGCACTAATTTTTAAACAAACGGAGCTACACGTGTTCTGCAGAGCGTAAAATTTGCTTTGTTACGCACTTGTAAGACAGAGACAACACATACAGGTATCACGCCCTCTTAAATGATAATGATAATAATTTTATACTGAGCTTTGTTTTAAATTATGAATTTATAAATTTTTTGGTTTTCTGTTTTTTATAATAAACAATGGCCAAATGTTGTAAATCGTCATTTATTTTACCATGATTTAATATTTTATCTTTTAAAAGTGAATTAATTTTTTTTGTATATGTGAATAAAAAGAAATTTATAACTTTTTTTTTAATAATATCTTTTAAATTATGAACTGTACAATTTAATTTAATTTCGACATTTATTTCAATAGATAAATTGAATTTTTGAGAAATATTGGGTAAATGACATATAAGTGAAGTATTATAACTTAAAATCATAAATATATGTTCAATAATTTCTTCAAATATTTTCGATGGATTTTTAAGGCTTTTTTTAGTATATGACCTGGCTTTGATTAAAGAGTTCTCTACATTTTTTTAAATTATAACATTTTTATAACATTTAAAACCACCGATGGATTTCAATAGTATGTGTTTGGGGAGTTTGGCTCCATTTTTACAGGGAGATGAAAAAAAATCAAGTGAACAAATTCCCCTTACAGTGCATCCAATCTCCCTTTAATTTCAAAACAAAAATTTAAATGTTTAACCAGTTACATTATTAATTTCCAGACTTGATGTTAAATAATACATAATTAATTTAAAATATTTAGTTAGTTTTTAATGAACCGTTGATCAATCAAGTTGTGTTTTATTTTTTATTTTTCCGACAAATTATCTTATTGATTTTTACGATTAAATATTTTCAGTTTTATCAAAAACCATGAATTTACAGAAATTTTCAATCGATTTTCCATCTTTAGTTTATTTGGTGCGAAATAATTCATATCCAGTCTATTCAGATTCTACAACATTTTTATCGAGATTAAAATCATATAATTCTTTTCCATCCACTTCGTGTCAAAATAAATATACATTATCTGAATCTGGTTTCAGATATACAGGAGTAGGAGATATAGTTGAATGTTTTTTCTGTGGACTTGTTTTACAAAAATNTACATTAAAAAAATATATATATTATACATTGATAAATCAAAATAATAATATGTTGTTTAACTAATATTTATTTTTATTTTCATTATAAAACAATGTCTATTTTCCTGGGGTTTTGTCCCAACTTATCAATGACTTCTTCAGGAGTTAAATTAATATTGCGGTATACCGACAACATGGTCAATCCATTTAATCTGTCCTGTGTAAATAATTATTTTTCAGTATAAAATGTTATGAATACCTAAGGATTAAAAATATGTATGATAAAAAAATGGTTACCTCTTTCATAGTATTTCTCAAATAAGATTTTACTCTTTTTAAATTTGAAAACATTCTTTCTGGAGTAGCTGTTGATACTGGCAGTGTACATAGAATTTTTAATAGCACATGAATACTTGGGAATATTACAGGACTACAAAGTTTTAATGCATCAATTCCATTAGATGGTTTAACATTCAGACGGGCAAGTTTTAGCTTCCACATTTTAAGTTCACCAAGAGTGGTAGACAAATCATTATTAGACAAGTAGAATGAAACGAGAGATTCAAAATCAGCTTCATTAGAATCTTCGTTGTTATCAAATAAACAATGAAAACCTAAATAACATAGTTTTTATAAATAATATATTAATATAAATTTATGTTATTAAGAACTTACCTTTAAAAATATTATGGTGCTCTAAGAATCTGAGCTCTAGTTGATTTATGAATGAATCAATATAAGGAATACAAATAGTAACTCTAAAATAATCTTCTGGTTCTTCGGATGATAATGATGGATTAGCACGGTTTATTTGCCTTTTGTTTATTCTTTTAACTACAATTTGAAAATCTAGAACTTCAGCCATTTTCTAATTTAAAAGAAAAAGTTTAAATACGCTTAATTGTATTAATAAATATGATGTTTAGAAGTAAACTGGTGATTTTAATTAATTAAAATATTATATAAGCATAATATATATTAATCATTATTCATTAATATTAGTTACTTGAGCCTCATTATATATTTTTTTTAATTCAGGTTCAATATTAGTCCTTAGTCGTTTAAGAGCATTAACATTATCTTCTGCTAAACCAACCATTTCTTTTAGATCAATGTCTTTGCTTTGTAGTTGTTTGCACAATGGCAGCCCATATGAAAATAAAACCTATTACAAAACATTTAATTTTTAACTCAACTACATGATTTAATATATTGAATTAGGTACCTACCTTTATAATTTGTACCGATATAAGAAATTCTGAGTCCATTGCATTTTTTAACATATTGGCTTCAACTGCAGTTACATCTTTCCAACTTGACATAGTTTCTAATGAAACTACAACGTATGGAAATAACTGAACAAAATCATTAACAGCATCATACCTTTGAATCCATCTGGTTGCACATAATCGTTTTAATGATTTTATGCTTGGTATCAAATCACTATTACTAATAGTTTCAAAAAGTGCATTTTTGCGTTTAGGTGTATTAAAATAACAATACAATTTTTCAATGACCCCAAGGCAATTTCGAATTGGTTGTAAATCACACGCAGAGGATACTGCCAAGTTTAAGGAATGGGCAACACAGTGCACGTACAATGCCTTAGGATACTTTGCTTGTATAATAGATTTTACTCCTTTAAATTGCCCGGACATATTCGCAGCACCATCATACCCTTGGCCATACAAAAAATCACAGTTAATTCCACTAACATTGAGACCTGAAAAAAAAAATTATTTAATAAAAATTATTTAAAATAATAATATTTATTATAAATTACCATTAAGAATTGTAGATGCTAAATCAACTCCTGTTAAACTTTGAATCTCAACAAACTTGATAAAGTCTTCATTGATTTGTACATCATTCCCCGTTCCACTTAAGTATCTTACACATATTGTGAGTTGTTCTGTAACTGAAATGTCTGTTGTTTCATCAGCTAAGACTGAGAAACATTTGGATGCATTGATTTTTTCAACAATTTTCTTTAATAATATATCACCACATATAGATATTATTTCATTTTGTATCCTAGGGCTTAAATATTTATTACGTGAATCTGATTCAAGGAATGATCTAATACAATCGTCGTCTTTTACTTTATATTTTAAAATTTCTCGGAAATTACCCTCATTTTTAGTTAACGCTATTATAATATATATTAAAAAAATAAAAATTAATTAATAAACAAATTATTTAAAAAATATAAGATCATTAATTTACATGTAAAGTCAATTGGGCCAAAATCCCTATGTCCCCGTAGAGCAATTTCTTGTTTGCCACATAAAATTATGTATTCTACGATTGGTAAAAGCCTTTTTCTATTAGCAATTATTTGTTTTGTCCTGTAAAATAAATAATAATGATGCCTGTTACTATTATTTTTACATATAATTATAATATTTTATTAGTATACTTAGATATATTTTACCTGTCATCATCCAAAGCTTCAA